ATGAAGGAATCTCAGAGATTCCTGGTTTTCAAAAAGCGCGGACAGAAATTGCAGTTACCCCTTAACAGCGATTTTGCAACTGGATTTTGAAACTAATTTGAAACTGACTGGAAACTAATTTGAAACTATGGAAACAATTTGAAACTTGAAAAATACCACATTCCGGACTTTCTGCCCCATCCTGGCCCCTCACATACGGCCCTCAGTTGACTTTGGTCAGCCGTGACTAGAGACCAGAGTTTCCGAAAACTTGCAAGTCTCCAGACTGTTGATGGACGAAATCCTGCATCATTTTTATCACGCAGCTCATCCCTTCCAAGCCCTGAATCTTAACATTGCCGTCCTTGCAATGCTTCGAAAGTGCATGTGTGTGAATGACCGAAATCCTGCATCACCCATATGCGCACGCAACATTGAAATTCGACGGGTGCGGGGAGCTCGATGACCAACCGTCGCACACGTGTAACGCAGGGGGTCATGCAAGATTTTGTCCATCCACAGTACTACTACTTCTCCTACTACTACTACTACTACTACTACTACTACTACTACTACTACTACTACTACTACTACTACTACTACTACTACTACTACTACTACTATGTTTTGGTCTGGAGGCGCACGGAGCGCTGCCTTTGGCTGTTGGGTGAAACTTCAAGTAGGCTACCCTACCTATGTGACAGCCTGTATTACCCAGCTGGCCTGGTCACCACCAGGCCTCACACCAGTACACCGTGAGCATTTGTGTCTGGTTTACTTTGCCCTACCGGCTCTACCCTAACTGCTGCTACATCTGGTCCCCAGGTCACCAGCTCTGAGCTCGCTGGTCTACTACTACCACTACTACTATTACTACTACTACTACTACTACTACTACTACTACTACTACTACTACTACTACTACTACTACTACTACTACTACTACTACACTACTACTACTACTACTACTACTACTACTACTACTACTACTACTACTACTACTACTACTACTACTACACTACTACACTACTACTACTACTACTACTACTACTACTACTACTACTACTACTACTACTACTACTACTACTACTACTACTACTACTACTACTCTACTACTGCTACTACTACTGCTACTATTACTCCTACTGCTACTGCTACTGCTACTGCTGCTACTACTACTACTACTGCTGCTGCTGCTGCTACTACTACTACTACTACTACTACTACTACTACTACGACTACTCCTGGTTCCACTTCTACTTCTGCTTCTACTTCTAATGCTCCTACTCCTACTACTACTTCTACGATTACAGCGACGATTACGACTACGGCTGATGGCGACTACGACTACGATGGCTACGACGAACACGACGACTGTAAGACGGATGCGACGACTATGGCGTTGACTGCGACTGCAATTGTGACTACAACTACAGGGGCAGCGATGCCGACGACCACGACCAGGACGACGACTACGACGACGCTGACTGCTACTACTACTACTACTACTACTACTACTACTACTACTACTACTACTACTACTACTACTACTACTACTACTACTACTGATACTACTACTACTGATACTACTACTACTACTACTACTACGACGACGACCACTACTACGACTACGACTACCGCTACTACGAGGACGCGCGTTTGTAGGAGGCCGGGTACTTTTAATACATGCGCTTGTTGTCATAGTCCCAAAGTGAGCACCCTCTCGGTGTTTCGCGCGTTTGCCACCTAAAAGACAGATCATCGACGTAGGGCCAAACTACTTTGAGGGTCATGGATTTGTGGTGTGTTTAGGATTCAGGACTCGGGGTTTTCTTTGTGCAGAATGTTGTACAAACAAGCGGCAATGCTGTAAATACGAGTGTTCGGGGCAAAAAACGCTGTGAATTCTAGTGCTTTGGGCATGGTCGCGAAAAGGATGGACGCTAGTGACTGATTTTCCTGTTCCGCATCCTTGTGCAGTATGTTGTACAAAGAGGCGAAAATGCTGTAAATACCAGTGTTTTGGGCATGTGATACTCCCCTCAGAGGGGGGAAGGTCCCGCCCCCCCCCCCCGTCTCACGGGGCGCCTCCCCCCCGGCCCTCCTCGGCCCCTCACCCTGCACCCCCCCCCCCCCCGTGCCGCACACAAATGGCCAGCCCCCCCCCCCCCCCCCCACCCACCATCCAAAAGCGAGGCGAAACACGAAATCTAGCAAAAACAATCAGGGCCTCAACGCGCGGGTACGACTACTACTCCTGCTACTACTCCTGCTACTACTCTACTACGACTACGACGACGACTACTACTACTACTACTACTACTACTACTACTACTACTACTACTACTACTACTACTACTACTACTACTACTACTACTACTACTCCTGCTACTACTACTACTACTACTACTACTACTACTACTACTACTACTACTACTACTACTACTACTACTCCCACTACCACTACCACTACCACTACCACGACCACTACCACTACCACTACCACTACTACTACTACTACTACTACTACTACTACTACTACTACTACTACTACTACTACTACTACTACTACTACTACACTACTACTACTACTACTACTACTACTACTACTACTACTACTACTACTACTACTACTACTACTACTACTACTACTACTACTACTACTACTACTACTACTACTACTACTACTACTATTTTTCATTCCAACCGCAGCCGGTCACTCAGCTTGGCGTCAGGTACGTGGCAGTGCATTGCACCGGTGCTTCTTGAGCACTAGAACCATAATGGGCAAGTCCCGCTACGAATAGCTGCAAACTTGCGTCCTACTCAACCTGTCAAGAGAAGAGTGCACAGTGGCACAGAGTGCACAGTGGCACAAACAAAAAACTGCTTCAGCATGTAATGCCGGCGGCAGTGACAAACAATATCGGCACAGTGTCGCGACCAGTGGTGTGATCCTCGTCACTTGGTATGTACAGGACATGGAAGTGCGTTACACAGGACGGCTTGTGGTTTATGTACAAGTGGCCCAGCCGGGCTCACTGTCGGTCCAGAGTGGCCAACTATGGCTCACTAGCCTCTCACTCACTGTCAAGGTCAGGGTCTGTTGTAGGTGGTGTAGGTGGTGCAGGTGATGCAGGTGGAGTGGGTAATGCAAACTCCAGTCTCCGAAGCGTATCCACGTGTGCAGGGTTCAGCTCATCCACTGCCCTGACTGTGAAGATTGCAATCGTGATGCGATCTCCTGTCCAGGGGCGAGTCTCATGCGATCAAAGGTGACTCCTGGCAGTGTGAGATTTAGCACGTTGCCCTGCATGGTACCATCCATACACGCATGGCTGCCGTCTGGATCGTAGACCCATACTCCTCCTCCTATGAAGGCCGAGCAGGGTAGCACTGCATTGACACTTTGTGCGGCGTTGTTCATATCCCTATGTGCATGCATGAACGTGTTTCGCTGAAGCACAAAGCTAGTGAAGGGCACCCGGGTGCAGGAGCGGATGTACCTACACACCATTAGCGTAACCCCATGGGAACTTCGAAGTGTTGCGCCGAAGCCCATGTAGTGGGCCCTGTGAGTAGGCTCCACTCATAAAGCACATACTGCCAGGTAGGTCGGCATGCGCCTCACTGCGCAGGTCGCCCCTAGGCAGACTGTCACAGAGTAGCTTCCATGCACTCATGCGCACCTGTCCACAGGCAATCATATCGGCCGCAATTTGCTCAGCTATGTGCCGTGGGTATGGCATGTCATCTGGGATTTTTCATCAATCTCCAACGAATACGGGATCCTTACCTCGCGTTCATGTTGTGTTGGTGTGAAGCCGCTGGCCTCACCCATTGCATAGCCCGAGGTGTGTGCAGGCAACATTTGCTGGATGTGATGCCTAGCTCGAGCCCTATTGCACAGGTAGAGTACGCGCTGGGTATGTGGAGATTTATGGGGCACTTAGGTGGGGAAGGTGTGATCTGGCATTTATTAACAGTCTCTGTCGCTTTTGTGCCTCAGGGCGACGGCTCATCTCCTCGTGAATTGGCAATGAATTAACGCATGTTCAGTATAGTGGCCCAACAGGCTCACTGCACAGCGTGTTGCTCAGGTACCTGCAACAGGGTGCATGCACACGTGAGCGTGGGTGTTTGTCAGGTAGCCGCAGGCACGTGACAGCGGTGCAATCCTTTTTTCTGATTTTTTGGGTTTTTTGTAAGCACAGGCTGCCTATGTGTCCCCCACAGGCGGCTACCCCACTGCGCTCAAGTCATCAAAGCGTAGTCCTGCAGAGCAGGACCAGGTAGCACTGTTGGCTGAGTACTGAGTCATGCGTTACAGCTATATTGACATGCTCTATGGGCTTACTGTCATCTGCATGCCATTGCGGGGGTGCTTGAGGTGCGACCCTTGGGGGGAGATGATTGAGAAAGCGGGTAGTATAATGTCCCCCGTGTATAGTAGACCCTCGATGCAGCACGCACGCCGTGACTAAGTATGTGACATACGTACAAGCAGCCCCCTGATGTGGGTCACAGTAGCACGGGATCTGGATTGCAGTGGGAATGGTGACCCTGGTGTGCAGTTTGACCGTCTCGCCAGCGTCCGTGTCCAAGAATCGCGAGATGCGCAGAAGCAGGATGCGTGGAGGATGCGTGCAAGCCTGTACGTACGTGCCGCCGGTGTGCCAATGGTCAACAAGTGCTTGGAGGTTAGTGGTGGCATAAGGGTCCGCCAGGTCAAGGGTAATGGACCGCTGTGTGTTGTGCTGTCCTCTGGTCTCGGTGCCCTCAACCTCACTAACAATGCGCGATTCCCACTTGCCTTGAAGAACTTGGGGTCGTCCAGCTCCTAGGAGGTGTTCTAGGAATTCACAAGCGTCATGTTGCTGGTGGAGGTTAGCCCAATTGCACAGCAAGGGCCGCCAGGAGCTCAGTGCGTGAACGTGAATGGGCTTACGCGCATGATACACATCCCTCCACGCCTGTTCCTGGGCACCATACTTGAGGATGTCCGCAACCTGGAGGTGGCTGACCGCAAACAGCCAGGCACGTACGCTTGCATTAAGATAGCATGTATTGCTGCTGTTAAGGAGCCGTATTAGTAGTATTCGGCCAGCGCCTGTTGGACAAGCGCGGCAGCCGGTGACTGCTTGAGCGTGTCCCTCCTTAGTTGGAGGCCGATGACCTGCATGGCCGACAGGCCGGTCAATGCCTCCAGTGTCTCCCATACTGTTGGGTGGCCCTTCGTGCGATTGGAGATGTCCAGCTGGAAAGCCGTGACCCCTGTCATGGTGTCTGCTAGGGGGCGTGTGGCGTGGAATCTGTGTATCATGTAGGGCTGCATGATGATGGGTAGAAGGAGTTGTAGTGCTTCCACTAGCTTCGCGTGTGGAAGCGGGGGCCTCCCCTCGTCGACCACCAGGCTCCCCAACGCCGGCGACCACTTCTGGTAGCACCAATGGCCTTCCTGTAGCCATTTGTTGTCCTCTGCCTTCTTCTGGAAGGGTGTCTGCGTCACTCCTCCGATGTCTTTCAGGCTTGCGTGCAGCATCGTGATCAGACAACCGAACAGAGTGGTGCGGAGTGTACTGGTCGTTGTTCCCTCCTCCTGAGACTTCTTCCATTTTTGTGCCGCTGCAAAGAGGAGGGGGAGCGGCCCCTGACTGCCCGGTTGAATGAAGAGCACCCAGCTGTAGTCCTGGCGTAGGATCTTGAGCGCCGTCTCCTGTTGCAGTGCTAGTCTGGCCAGTGCTTTGATCAAGTAGGTCAGGTTGGGGGTTTCGTGACCACGTCCCTTGCCCCCACCTTTGCGCCAGTGTTGTTTGCTTGGAGGGGCCGGCTGACGCGGGCGCCCTTTGCCCTGCTCTGTCTTGGGAACCTTGCCTCGCTCTGCAGGGGCCGATTCCGGTTCGGCTTCCCTCTTCATCGTCGGTGCCCACTCCATGAGATCCAGCTGGTCCTTCATCAGCGGGCCGAAGACTTGCTGAAGCTCCTCCATCGCCAGTCCTGTCGTTACGCAGTTTGAGATGCATAAGGCAGATTTGCCACAAGACAGTACATTTGGCAGGGTGCTGTCTGGGGGCCTTGGTGACCGCACTGCAGTGCTCACACGGTGAGCCCGGGGTATTGAACTTGGAGCACAAACAGCTCGCTGATTGCAGGTACTGTGCATGGTCAGTGGGGTGTGAGAGCCTATAGTGCTGCTTTACCTTACTTGTGCACACAATCCACTGGGAGCACAGGGCACAGTAGTGTCGGAGCCACTGTCTATCCTGCAGGTGAAAAGCTGCATTTTCAGAATACTTTGTGAGCATGGCTCGCACGCTGGTCCTCTGAAAGTACGGCAACTGTGTTTCCGAGTCGTCCGTTGGTCCGGCACCTGAGCAGCTTGCTGGATGGGAGGGGTCGGGCTCGACGTGAGTGGCTTCAGGCGTGGGGCTTAGCTTAGGGCCTATTACCTTGACAGCTGACGCATCAATAGTGTGAGGGGGTATCACTTCGGGTGTCACTTCGGGTGTGTCCGAGCAGGGTGGACGTCTCGTGGGGTAAAGCACCTTACAGCGCTGCTCGTTAATGTGCTTGCGCAGACTGGAGAAGTCACAGAGTTTGACTTTGCAGTGGCTGCATTGAGGTAGCCCTCCCAGCGCGTCACTGTGTTTGTCGAAGGTGCGCGTAGGCTGATTGACAGGGCGTGCTGGGTGGTCTTTATGTTTACGGGTCATGTGGCCGAGCATGGAGGCACGGGTGGCGAAATATATTCCACACTCTGGACACGGGTGGCCATGGGTACGCTGATTGTGCATTTCGACAAGCTGAGAGGGTGAAAAGTCTTGTAGGGTATCCATGACTCTTTGCCAAGCTGCGCTATCGGGCCCCCTTTTGAAGATATCCGGTTGAGGCTCCGGATCAACTGTCTCCTTATGAAGTTGGTGCCTTAGCGCCTCAATCGGAGAAAGAAGGTTCCATTTTGTCAAAACCTGCTGGTGCGATGTACCCGTCATGTACACGGGATCCCTGACTATGAGTCGAATTTGTCGCAGGATCTGCGCTGTGAGCTTCTTGGCGCCAAGGGGCGTGAGTCCACAGGCATCAAGCCCGTAGACAGTGGCGGTATAGACACACGCCTGCCAGATACGGAGCTTGTGTTGTCGCGTTAGGGCATGTCTACCTCGGAGTACACGCGTGAGTCTGCCAAAGTTGTTAGACCCAACCTCTAAGCGGTGCGCAAGTGTTCGATCCTCATAGTGATCATAGCTGACAATCGCTCCCAAGTACGTGAATGAATCAACAAGTGGGATGTCGATACATTCTTGTGCACTGTAGATACGAAGGACTTTCCCCTGGGCCGTTTTGCGTGTGAACCGTCTCCTAAGCTGTTCAGCCCCCGGACCTGCGCATTTGAGTATAGCCTTGCTTTTTGCGGGGCTAACCGTCATTCCCATATCCGCCAGTGTATGGAGGAGCACGGCTATGTGCGACAGAATGACCTCCAGATCGTGCGTCGAGCTGAACTCACCCGAGCAATGGTAGTCGTCAGCGAAGATGCTGAGGAGATTGACTGTGGCGTGGTAGCCGATCTTGGCCGCAAGTTTTGCACTGATAAGGTGTGAGAAGATGAGCCAGAGAAGGGGTGCAACCGCACAACCCTGTCGCACGCCCTGTGTAGCGTGGACAACCCGATCCGTGCCATCGTGGTTGATATGGTAGTGGGCTTGGTGGTGCCAACACATGACAATCTGTATGAAGGAGAGCGGCAAGTTCATGTGCTCCATTCCTTCCAGGAGTCGATGTCGGGGCATGGCATCAAATGCTCCCGCGAGGTCGAGTGTGACCTGCAGGCCGCCGATCAAGGCCGTGGCCGCCTTGCCTTCAAATCGGTCATGCAGTGTGCAGTGGTGGGCGCGGCACTTGGCCCTTATGTGCGCGCAGTGGTCGAATACCCTGCGCAAGGCATCGCGGTGGGACCTGCCCGGCATGTAGCCGTATTGGGGGAATTGTGCGGCGATGCTGTGTATGTCTGCCTGATAGGGTTCGACTAGCGCTTTAAAGGTGAGTTTGCCTAGCTGGTCTTGAAGACCTATCGGACGATAGTGTCCCTCTTCCTTACCGGTTTTGGCTGGCTTACGGATGAGGACCAGGTGCGCGTCGGACCAAGGCCGGGGCACGCGGTTAGGCTGTGGGGTCCAGTTGGTATTAAGCACATGGCGACCCTTGTCGCGATGATGTCTGAGCAGAGGCGCCAGATGGCACTGGGTGGGTGGCCTGGGGGGACGGCTTTTCTGAGCGGAGCGTGTTGCAAGTGCCTGGCGAGCACCGTCGGCTGCTGCGTGGGGCCTTCGCAGGGCTCCCCCTGACGTTCATGCAGCAACCGAGTGGTTGTCTCTAGCTGCGTGAGCGCTTCAGCAGCAGCTTTGAATTTGGCAGTGAAGTGACAGTGAAAGCACGCCGCTTCCTCACTTCGTGTCATCATTTGTCCTGTGGAGTCACGCAGCTGGGATCTGTGGCGCTTGGCTTTTGGCGCGAGAGCGCGTACAACCTGATACAAGAGGCGATAGGCGCTGGTTATGGTTTTGCGCAGCCTGTTCCGCAGTGTTCATCTGTTGGAGCAGGTAGTCTTTTTTTGCGGTTCGGCAGTGCTCTTTGTGCTTTTTGTACAGTTTGTTGTACTGTGCCCATGTCTTCCAGCGTCCAATGGCCGCTTTCAGGGTGGTGTCCTTGTTACAGCTACGGTACTTCCTCCAGGCCTTCCACATATCCTTAATTCCCTGTTTGATATGCGGCTCCTGCCATCTGGTGAGTTTGTCAGTATGTGGCGTTTCTTGAGGGAAGTATTTTGCCGCAACGTGGCACACGATTTGGGATATATTGCCCGCATCGGACACAGTATTCACAGCAGTGAGTTGCTCTTGAACTTCGGACCTGAATCGGGCAACAGCGGGGTCACTGTGTGGGTCTTTCGCTTGCGCGAGCTGCACGATTTGTGTTGCGTCGACTTTCGGCTTAAGCTCAGTGGGCTTATGGTATACGTGATAAAAGAAGGGGAGCGAAGCAACAATAGGCGTGTGAATCCCCCCTCCATGACGCCACCCACCAACAGGGCACGTGTGCAGCGGGCGTGCCTGTCTTGCCATTCTCGTGGTTTGGCTGGCGCGCATGAGGAGGTAATCTAACTGTGCTTGATGCTTCCCAAACGTAAACGTGTGTGCTCCTTTGCCTGGCTTTCCCCAAGTGTTAAGCGCGACGAGGGTGTGTGCGGAGAGCAACGTGTGCAGGGCATCAGCGTCCGGGGCCCGTTCAGGGGAGAGGGCACCCGTACCATGTCCAACACAAGGGCGTTTGGGAGTAAGTTGGACATTCAGATCGCCTCCAACGACCAGGGCTTCACGGTAGGGAATCCCTCCTATGCAATGGCTAAGTTTATGCCAAAAATCACTACGCTTGTCGAGGATTGCTGGGTCTTTGGGGTTCCAAGCATACTGATAGGCACATACTACACTGAGTAAGCGGCCAGTGGTTCCCAGGGGGAATCGCACTCGAAGTAGTCGACCTGGGATCACAGCATCATGCCTGACCTCCTGCACATTAGTGAGTGATTTCCGAACAAGGATCATAACTCCGGCATGTTTCTGAGCAGTGGTGCCAGAGCCAACGCATATCCAGCGAGCAGTGGTGTACTCGCTAGCTTCTCTAAGTTTGGTCTCTTGCACAAGCACGATGTCATAGTGAGATTGATCCAGGAACCCCATCAAATCCTCGTACATCCCCGAACCTAGGCCCCCGACGTTGTGGCAGTATACCTTCAAGTGGCGCTGGGGTGGGACAGGAGTGTGTTGCTTGGCTTGCACAACAGTGTGCGGTTGCTCGGAGGGAGAGGTTTGAACAGTGAGTGTGCGACCTTTGTATGTGGCGCGTCCATGTGTAATGGCCTGACGGCATGCTCTCTTAAAAGATCTCTTGACATATCTATTCCAATCGTGAGTAGGATCCTGCTTCCCATATACGACCTGTATCCCGCTTGGCTTCGGCACATGGCGAGAGCTTAAATGTGCATACGGGTTGCCTTCCCCAGCTCCAGCGGAGAGAGCTGGAACCCTCACACTGTGGGTGAGCTGTGCTTGAATCATCATGATCAGGACAGTGAAACAGCTCCCCACCCCGGACTTGGGACCGGGCCGGCTGCTTGGGGCGAAGTGATTGTTCGCATTGGGGCGGTGTGATACATCGCTCCCAGTAGGAGGGGGCAGTTGCCTGCACACCCTGGTCCTTTGCACATGGCTGTACAGCATATTATTGGTATTTAGCCCTGGTTTATTCCCTGTATTATGCCAAACCACCGGCCAATACTGCGGAGAATGCAGGTGGTGCACTTGGGTCCGCGGCGGAGACCTTTGGCGCGTCTGCGCCTGCGTTTTTTGACTGTGCAGCCAATTCGGATTTTGCGTAGTCTATTGGGCATGCGGCAGTCTCTCCAGAGTATCCTGAACAGAGGGGCCTCGGCTTCCCAGCGGCAAGCCGCCTGTCCTGCGTGGCAGTGGTACAGGTGCGTGAGTGTTGGAGGCATGCAGGGATGTCAAGCGATGGGGCACAATGGCATGAGCACACACAACCCTCATGTATTGCCCGTGGCGCTGTGCGTCGCGCGAGGAGGCGCGTGAAATCGCCAGTGCAACCTGTTGCGGGTGTGGTGGACCGCCATCGGCGGTCAACACCTCCAGGCTCCGCATGATCTGAACACTGTGGAAGAAAGCCGGGTCGATGGTGGCTTCCGTGAGGATGACATCATTCGCCGACCTGTAGAAGGTGATGCCAGAGACCGCAGCACTTTGCGCGCTAATCCAGAGCACCAAATCACAGTCGCTGCGCATGCCCGACACGACATCCGATCCTGGGAGCTGCTCAACCAAATGTACATGACGGCGGAAGGATTGTCCTTGCCTGCCTCCGGCCATCAGTCCGTAACGTACAATGCTCTCGTAGAAGTCGTAGTATGTCCCGTGGGCAACGAATTCAGGGGTGTCATCGACTGTGAGGCGAGTGAGGATCAGCTCGTTCTGGATGTGGTCAATGGAGTGGCCTTGTCGGGCACGCACTAGGTAGGCGCCGTCGCAGTGGGAGATCTCGAACCTATTCTTCTGGTTGTAGTGGATTACGTCGACGATCTCCGCCTCTGTGATCCATTGGTTCCAGATGCGTGGGGCCTGCAATAGGTCTCCCATAGCGACGTAGCCGTCATCTTGGATATGCAGTCCAATTCTGGGCGCCGCATGTCGAAGGATCTGCGTGAGGGCTTTGGAAATCTCCTTGGCTCGTTCCCCGCGCACACGAGCTGGGGTGCCGTTTGCACGCATCCAGTGCTTGGTCCCTGTCTCCTCTGTAGTCGATCTTGATGGCGGTTGTGGCGGCTGTCGCACCTGATGACCACCGATGAGTTTGTGGTCCGTAGGTGCCTGAGAGGGACGAGGGGCCTCCGTGCACGGGGCAGGCTCCCTAAGTGCGACCACCTTCACATCATCAGAGGAGCTCTCCGTCTCGTGGTCGATGGTGCTGGCTTCCTGTGTGCCCACAGTCTGGAGCGGTAGGACTGATAGCGGGGCGTCTTCCGTAGGATCAGCATGTAGGAGGTGACTCAAGCCGGTACCCGCTTCACCTTTTGCCGGGGTTGTCCGTTCATGGGTCCGGAAGACATGGATAAATTCCGCAGGGTTGGAGTTCACCTTGAGCGCATCGTACGTGTCCGGGGTGCATGTGTCAGTCATCGCTGCGATCAGGGTCACGAGAAGCTGGTAGTGTTGGTACCACGGAGGGCGTGGTTGCTTCTTTGCGTTGCACACCGTGAACGCTTCCATAAAGGAACCGAAGTTGGAGACGTCCTTGTAGATTGCGCGTAATGGTGGACACAGGAGGGAACCCGTCAGCGCTAAGTTCCAGTTCCCTACTCGCGGAAAGCTGGCTGTCGATGGATCACCATGGAAGGTGTCGTGGTGCTTGGTAACGTCACCTGATCTGTAAAAGGCGTTGATGAGCGTAGGAAGGCCAGCATGGGCGAGCTGCTCCAGCAAGTCAACGACCTTACTTAGCCTGGCCATTTGATCCGCACAAGGCTCCTCTGGAGGGGCCGCTTGACTCGGCGCTGCCTCGGTCTGCCTCTTCACAAACTCATCGCTCACCTGTGTGCTGCGTGATCTCTTGCTGACCTGGGGGGACGGAGATTTGCGCGGCTTGCGCTGCTGGTGTGCTGCAGAGGGCTCAAGGGGAGCGTCCTCGTGGGTGTCACTGCCTGACGTGGCTGGCCGGCGTCGTGTGTTGCGCCAGCTCCCTTGATCACCTGCCACCCCAACATCAGCATCCCATTCTTCTGGCCAGTGCCACCAATCCTCCTCGTTGTGGCTCCATTCCCGCCAGGGGCCATCTCTGGTCTCCCTTGAGCCTCTGGATGCTCTCCCTGCCCGACTGGGGCCTCCTGAGGAGGAGGGCTGCCCATTCATCTCATCATGCTGCGACTCTTGGCCATCGTCGGTGTGTATGCGGTAGTGCTGAGCGTGGTGACGCCTCGGGGCCTCATCTTCTGCATGTGCGTCTCGTTGCCTCTGTCTTGCCTGGACATCTTTCCAGAATTGCACATAGGGGGCCCGCGTCCTCAGCTCCCCAGCAGTACGGCGATGCCGGCCATCAGCGCGATAGCCAGATCGGGGCTGCTTCTCCCCTTCTTGCTGGGGTGTCTCGGGCATCGTGCTAGCTGCGCGTGCAAAGTGTAGCGAAAGGGGACAGGTAAGAGCACTGTCACCCTGTGGCCAAAGCACTTGCGGTTGCAAACTCTCACCCTGTGTACACACAGCAGACTTGCAGAGCAGGCCATGGGACTGAGAAGCGGCGCTAAAGCACGACGGCAGTCCTGTGGAGTCCGAGCTGCATGAGAGAGTGGTTCGTGTCCGATCACACCTGGGGAGCACGCTGATGAGGCAGGGCTTATGGTGCATGGAGTAGCTTTGAGGGTTTTGGGGGCATTGTCCGTTCACAGGCAACGGTGCAAACGATGGAACTTGCGGAAGCATGATGGGTCGAAAACGCATTGCAGCACTAGGGGCCAGACCACACTTCTTAATCCATGGCATGCAAATCCACTGGGAGCTTGCTGCATTTCGGAGCATAAGGGTGTTGTGTGTCCCACTGTCGATCATGTGTCTCTTGGGCGCTTTGCAGGGACAGTCGCGCCAGCTCACTGCAGAGTGCTGAGATGCGATTGCGTTTAGGCTTACGCTTGCGTTCTCCGACCGATATGGGCCGGGCTTCCAGCTGGGTGCACTGTGTTGCAGGTGCAGGGCATGGGTCAGCTGCGACTCCGATCCACGCAGGGCACTTGTTGAGACCATGTACCTTAGTGTGGGGCCATGCGGCACCCAATGGCTCGGCATTTGTGCATAGTTCGAGATCACCAAACTCTGATGGTGGATCAGCCATGCAGTTACCAACATCGGTAGCCTCAGGTGCCACAATGGTGCAAACGGCTTCGCACGCAGGGTTTGTGTCGCATGCTGACAATTCCATGGCATGGATGCAATCACTTCTAAAGAAAAATTTGGGGTCCCTCTGCTGGGACCTGTCTGAGCCGGAGTGCTTACTACTACTACTACTACTACTACTACTACTACTACTACTACTACTACTACTACTACTACTACTACTACTACTACTACTACTACTACTACTACTACTACTACTACTACTACTACTACTACTACTACTACTACTACTACTACTACTACTACTACTACTACTACTACTACTACTACTACTACTACTACTACTACTACTACTACTACTACTACTACTACTACTACTACTACTACTACTACTACTACTACTACTACTACTACTACTACTACTACTGCTACTACTACTACTACTACTACTACTACTACTACTACTACTACTACTACTACTACTACTACTACTAATACTACTACTACTACTACTACTACTACTACTACTACTACTACTACCAATTACTATGTTGGCTTACTGCTACTGTACTGTTACTGCTACTACTACTACTACTGACGGGGGGGGGTGGGGGGGAGGGGGGGGTGGGGGGGTGGGGGGGGGGGTGTGGGGGGGGGGGCCCTGGTCCTGGTGTCCTGTGGTCGCCCCGTGTAAAAAAGGGGTTTTGGGCTTGGGGGCAGGATTTGGAGGGTGCCCTTCGGCCCGAGGCCTCGGCGGATTCAATTTTGTATCTCATTGCGTGACATTGTTCTCGAGTCTGGAGAATGGTGAAGAAAGAGTGACTGAAGTTGTCGCACTGTTCAACATAATTGGGCTTGGCAGACTGAAGCGGCAGCTCCGATAGTAGCTGTAGCAAACAAATCGTCATGGCAAGCAGGGGCGCTTCAGCTGAAGACACAGCCCTGCAGTTCTCGCACGTGAAGCGTGACCAGTACTCAGTATTGTTTCGTTACCCGCAGTTGCTTGCAAAACCTGAATCAGCTACGGTCACTGGAAGCCCCTGTCCCAAAGCAGGACACATGGTGATCTCGAACCTCAGCCATGCCTACCATTGTCCCAACGTCAAGGCTGCCCAGGAGGGGTCTTCGTAGAGCTTCCGTTCTGGCGTGCAGCATTCGGGGTTTGAGGTTGATATGGCAGGGCAGCAGGATGTCCGTTTGATCTAGAACTCCTTGTCCTCACCATGTGTGCAAGAGCTGGCCAGGCCGCCCCTGTAAGTGAAGTGTGCACGAGCCTTCCCACCACGACCTAACCACATTTCCCACCTCACGGACGCTGCCTCTTTGGCGGGTTGTATTTTACGAGCAGAGCGTGGAGTAACAGCTGAACACATGAAGCTTCCGACGGCTGCAAGAGCCAGATGTCACAAACGATGACTTGCAAGCGATGGCTCTGGAACCCAGCCTTGGCCGTTACTGACTCAGCTGATGGTGGTGAGACTTGATGTTGTTGGCAACGAATCTGTGACCGATGCTTCTCTGCCGGCTAGGAACTGCTTTCTGTTTACAGCCAAGATTGGCGCAAATTTCAGGGTTCTAAGAACAAAGTCACATCAAGACAGTTTGTTGTGTGCAAATGGTGCTTCGCAGCTGTCCGAAGCAAGTTCCTCTGGACTCTGGAGCATGTAGAGCCACGCACACTTAGATCATCCGTTCTAGAGCAGCAACGGGTCTGGAAGCTTGTCAGGAGACCTCCCTCCCATGACGCCCACATGTGCCTTGGGCACATTGGCGAAGGCTGCAGTGAGTGCAACGAGGCAGGGTGAGGGTGGGAAGACCCCCGTCGCCCGAGCAACCTTCAAGCGGGTTCTATAGTCAGACGCAAAGACGTGGCATCACCTTGTTGCTGTTGCGCCCTTGAAGTTTCCTTGCTTTGAGGGTGGTTGACGGCTTCAGGGTGGTTAATGGTTTCAGGGTTTTGGCAGTTTAGGGCTTCGGTGTTAGGGCCTTGAGGGCCTCAGGGTTTAGGGTTTGAAGACCGGCGGTTGGGGCGGGGGGGGGGGGCCCGAATTTTGAGGTCATGTCCAAGTTTACCTTCTGAAATCCGAATCATCAAGCTGCACCCTGGGCCCTAAACACCAAACCCCACACCCCAAACCCGAAACCCTGAGGACCTTGAAGCAGATCAAGCGCGCCGCGGCCGTGGCAGAGAGAAAAAGTCCTCCGAAGCCCCAGCGTCCTCGGAGTCCTGCTCTAGTTTGTGGGACTGTTCCAAGCAAAAGTCCTCCGATAGATATTAAAAAAAAAACAGTCCTCTAAACTGACAGATCCCCACGCAGGCTTTAATGTAGAACAACCTCCATTTGCAGGCTCAGGCTGTTTCTTTCCCAATCAACAAAAACTCTAAACCCTAAACCCTAAAACCTAAACCCTAAACCCTAAACTCTAAACCTTAAAGTCTACACCCGAAAGCCCGGCGCAATCGCCATGCAGCCGGGCCTGCAGCGTCTGCACCGCGCGTCGCCGCGGGGCTGACAGAGCTCAAGGCACGAGCAGCCTGAGGGAGAAGGGGTTGAGGGGGGTTGAGGTTGAGGATTCGGGTCTAGAGCGAAGGGTTTAGGGGGTTTAGGGGTTTAGAGTTTAGGGTGTAGGGTGTATTGGGTTTCAGGGTGTAGGGGTTTAGGAGTTTTGGGGTTTAGGGCCGAGGGGAAGCCGTCCCACCCTCCGGCCCCCCCCCCCCCCTTAAACCCTAAACCCTGAATCATAAATGCATTGAGTCCGAGTCCTGACGCTAGGAGCCTCGGGAGGATGTGACCCCCGAAGCCCCAAAACCCGCTTGTGCCCAAACCCGGCGCCAAGGGTTAGGTGTAGGGTTTCAGATTGGGGGGGGGGTCTGGAATTTGGGGCCCCCAGCCGACGAAAGCCCCTGAGCCTCACAAATTCCCAAAGCCCGAACGGTGGGGTAGATCCCATCCTAAACCCTGAACCCTAAACCCTAAAGCCTAAACCCTAACCCGTAACCCTAAATCCTAAGAGCCTTGATCCCCAAGCCACAGGAGGCCCCCGGGGTGCGGCCAAAAGGATGTTCTCCCCGGCGCCTTCCGCTGCAGTCGTTCCATGCCCCTTAGACGAGGCCACTTCTGCACCAAAACCCCTAAATTCCAAGACTCCCAAATCCCTGAAGCCCCTGAACACTTCCTAAACCCTCAACAAAACCCTAAACTCTAGACCCTCAACCCCCTAAACCCTGAACCCCTTAAACCCCTTAAAACCGCGACGAACATGGCCATTCTATTCCCTACAGGCCCCCCCAAGCACAAAAAGGGACTGATGGGTGCAAGGTGAAATCCCTCAAGTCTCTGTTGTTGCGGGGTGTATGGGTAGGGAAGAAGGGGGCGGTGTTTGGGGTTTGGGGTTTGTAGAAAAGGCTCATGGACAGTTTTCGGGATTTCGGCGGTTCGAAAGGCGAGGGGGTTGACAGCTCGGTGCTCAAGGGTCTCAACCCTAACCCCAACTTAGAACCCCCCAGCCCTACAAGCAAGCCACACGATGCAGACCCCAAAGCCCCTAACCGGAAATCGACTGCTGGTGGAGGGTCCGAAATCAGGGGCTCAAGGGTTTAAGGGTTCCGTGGGCTGGACCTCATGAGAGACCCCGACGCGCAGGGGACTTAAAAAGAGGTTGGGCCGGGGGGGGGGGGGGGGGGGGGGGGGGCGGACCCAGAGTATGTACTCTCATTCCTTGCATTTCCTCAGCTTTGCCTTCAGAGCCTACATGTGGCCAGTGCCCGACATTGCATTTGGGGTAGCTCGAAAGAGAGATAGAGTTCAGGGTTTTAAGATTATGGCTGTGTTCAGAGCGCAACCCACAACCCCACGGCTCGAAGACCTCAAGCCCTAAGCCCTAAACTGCCCCAAACTTCAAAGAACTGAGCTCCGCCATGGCAATGCAGCTTGCTCACTTCTTCGCCCGGGTGCCTTCGCCGCAGGGAACAGCTGCTGAGTTTAGGGCCTTTGGTGGTTCAGGGCTTGGGGCAGTTTGAGGGCATCTTGTTTAGGATATTTAGGACGTTTAGTACGTTCGGATCTCACCTGGGTTCTTTTGTGTGTGCCCTCGCGATCGCCCGGCCCTCCGCCCGTGAGGCCCCCATAGCCCCAAGCCCGGCGTGTGCGAGAGTCCAAGCCGAATCCTAAATCCCGAGCAGCGAGACCCCTCCCTTAAACCGCCAGAAAGCCCGAAGCCCCAAGGCAGTCCCTAAACCAACAAAGCTGCGGGCCTAGACCCAGGTCTGCGAGCCCCGCGGCTTCAACCTGTACGACAAGGAGTTGGCGCACGGGGTGGGGGATTTGAGCATGAGGAGGCAAAGGCCTAGGGCTTAGGAATGTTCAGGGCTTAGGGCCTTGAGGTGTCATAGAGTTTAGGGTTCCAAAGTTGGGATTTGTGGGTGAAGGGGGGCCGCGGGGGGGGGGGGGGGGGTGTTGCCTTGCTATTCTCAAAGACTAAAGGCCCCGCAAACTTAAGACTTGGGCCTGCAAACCCTCATAACCCTTCCTACCACCTGACCACCGAACACCGGATTCCCTTGGCTGCCTGTCGTTGTTGTAAGCCGCTCAAGGCACCAAAGCAGGACATCCCGAAACCATGGAACGAGCTGCAGATTCACACCAGCTTCAAGCAGCCTGCCTGTTTGGGGTTGGGGTGTGGGGCAACAGCAAGGGTTCATTGGGTGGGCTTCTAGTTTAGGGGTTCCGAAGCCCTGACTCTCCCAACGCAGTAGGACCTGGACAAATGCTCTTGAACCTACGCCGGACCTACGCTGCACGAGAATCCCAAATCCAAAAAACATCCTTTGGCGCGTCGGCCCTCATGTTAGAAGCTTGTTCGCAGGCGCCGCTTCAGTCCACGTTCCAAGTGGTTGAGAACCTGCCATGAATGGTAGGAACCAGTCCCCGAAACACCAGGGCTTGCCGGGTCGAGGCAGGATGAAAGGCCCTTCCTTTTCCATTGTCGTCGTTCCGAATGCCTGGACTGGCTGAAACATTCACGATCGTTTCCTGTCCTACTTCGACCTCATCCGAGAGCGGAACTGGCAGCACCTGGCGCTTGTCGCCCCGAGTCTGCTTGCACGGCCCCCTTCCTTGCCTGGCCCTTGTTGCTTTGCTTCTGCCAAAAACATAGGGGTCGACTCCACATCACCAAAGATGCACCTTCTTTGTGGTGCTGCAGGCTGACCGCACCAGTGCACCAGTGCACAGGCCCATGTGGCCTCATGGCTATAGGCTATAGGTATTGCACGTCTTGCACCATCCATGGAAAAGCGTTGAGAGATTAAGGATTATGCGTTCTGGGCGACTTTGGGGTCTGACATGTCCAGCAGCTAAGTCTGACAGAGACAGCTGTCACTGTTCTGATGTAACCATTAAAGTTGACGAAGACATCCCTTCTCCGCATATCACTGCTGTGCAGGCTCGCCCTCCCACAAACCCTCATTGCCCGTCAAAGCCCTGATACCACGGGCCCAGGTATGCGATGGGGAACTTCAAGGAGGAAGACATCTGCAACCGGGCGTGCCGGTGCCCCGGCAAGACCGGGCGCTGTACGGCATAATCTTTAGGGTTTAGCGTGAGCTCACGGTGTCTCTTTCTTTGGGGCTTGGGGTCTCAGGGCTCATGGTGCTGGAATGTTGTGATACTTTCGGAGCCCCTCCATCAAGGCACCCAGCAATTTCTAGGCAGCTTTCAGATGTGCACACCCCTGCCACAACTTGCACACCCCGGGGCAGTCGTAGGGATCAGTTCGCGGGGATGTACGTAGGGTCTAAGTCTATCTAAGTCGGTCATTCGTTTCTTTCTTGGATTCTCGGCATTTTTCCAGGTATGTCGATGATCCCATGCGTGCCTCTGGCGTCTTCGAGAACACAGGTGGGCGAGATGAATCGACATGGCGTGTCCTCGTGGATTCATTCGTGTTGGCTTTCCATGGATTCTCTGGATTTCTATTTGATTCTATTTGTTTCGGTCTCATGCTCTCTGAACTCTGAACCCAAGACATGTAACCTGGAGCTCCAGACAGTTCTAGATGTGCTCGGGCCTCACACGCCGAACTGCTAGCTCTTTCCTTTGCAGCTGAAGACTTGTTGCGAGTTCCTGCCTGGAATCCGAATTCGGTTTCGGGCCCAAGGGCTTCACCAACCAAAGCCGTAAAGCACAGCTCGATGCAACACGCCCCCTGCCCCCGCCTGCCCCCCACGCGTGCGTGGGCCCTGCGCGTGCGTGCTCGTGCAGGCCCTGGCTAAAGCCCACCGCGTGCTCCCCTAAGACAAGCCTAGACAAACGCCGCGAATGGCTTCCCTGAGGGCTCTCCCCCAAGCCGCACCCATTTCGTTGGATGCCACCCCAAAAAATGTCCGTCAACGAGGCGACCAGCTGCCTTTGGCAAACATGTGGCAGGCAAGCTCCGCTCAGCTGTGTCTTGTTGGGATTTGGCCTTGGCCTTGTGGGTTTCGGTCAACTTTTACAAACTTTCAAACGCTCTTTATGTCGGTGTCATCTCTTGGAAAAGCCGACCCCCACCCCCCCCACCACTCCACTCACCCTCCCCCAAAAATCCCGGACCCGAACCACCGAGCCGATGCGCTGCCAGTAGCGCTTGATGTCCTCAGCTGGCCCTCTCAATTCCACAAGGCATGCCGTGGCATGCCCCTTCTGTGCTTTGCTGGCCTGGCTTGGAGGACCGGAGGCCGCCTGTGTGGGTTTGCAGGAGTTTGTCTAGTGATGGTGGAGGGTTGAGGTTTAGGGTTTTGGGTACTGTGTTTCGTCACAACATGTCGTCTGACACCTGCCCCCCCCCAAAACCAAAAAAACAGGAGTTGACCAGACCGCGCCCAACCATCGAACATCAATATACAGCTTCACTCAGGTATGGAACACGGGCACGATGTCGAGGAACTCACTGAGGAGCCTGGACGTATTTGTGTTGGACGTTTTTGTTTCGGATGCTTCTTAACAGGGCCTGTCATCTCCATCTCCAAGCAAGCTCTAGAATGCAAACCCAGCCCAGTCTCAGCCCTAGATAACATCCTACGTTCAAGAGCCATGGTCGAAGGCCTCTAACAGCCTGTGGCCTAAACCCTACAGCCCGCTTTCGCAGGAAGTGGTGAACTCGAGGATGTCCCGCGGCAGCAGTGGCGGCTGTGTCGGGATGTCGGGGCGATGCCTTTCCTTGGCTCAGGGTTCAGGGCTCTCGGGTTACAGTTTAGGGTTTTTTTTTGCCTGGATCCGCGTGTCTTTGAAGTGGTGTTGATGAAGAGCTTTAGAGCTGGTGGCTGAGAGCAAAATTTTTGGGGCTAAGCGCCCCCCCAGACCCCAAACCCTACGCCATCTGAAGCTCTGAAGCCTCAAGTGCGCAGGAACCACACTCCCAAGCTCACAGCGCTCCAGCTCCAACTGTACTCAACTTCCATGTTCTTACAGGGTTAGCGTTCGGCATTTCGGGGTTGAGGACTTACTGTAGGGACTGTTGACCTCTGCTTTTGCTTGTCAGGGGGTTAGATCCGAAGCCCCATCGGGTTTACGGTTTACGCACCCTTTGGCATTATATGGGTCACTGGACAACTTTTTTCCACCGCTTTTGGACGTGGGGAAGGGCCTGGCTGATCTACTACGTGGTTCCCCGAACAGTTCGAGGTGGCCCTTGAATTCCGACTTGGACGATCTGGCGATGCGATGCCGAAGGTTTCGGGTTTCGGGATGTTTCGGGCATAGTCGCATGCCCCAGAGAAACAGTAGAACTCTAGTCGAGCCCTCTGCCTTCAACCTATGCCCATCGACTCTTAAGGCATCCCCTGCAGAATCTTGCAGTTCGATCCGCCACTCGGACCAAAACCCTCCTTGAGCCCTAACCCGACGGGCTCGAACCTCGAGTTGCAAAAAGCCCTCTCCCCTCAACCCATCTCAACCCTTGCCGTCCTGTATTTAAGCGCCCCGAGCGGGTGATTTCAAGGGGCATTGGCGAGAGCCGGTGTAGTCTGGTTCGCAGCATTCGCCATAGATTTCTCATCCTTGAGGAGTCTGTCGGGGGGTGAAGCGGCTTGTGCAGAGCAAGTGCTAATTTTCATGGAGCCCTAAACCCTGAACCTTAAAGACCAATCAGCAAAGCCAGGCTCCAACCCCCTGCCAGGCTGGTAAACCTAAGCCCTCAGAAGCCCAAACCTGCAAAGCCAAATATCAGCAGGCTTTAGGGTTTAGGGAATGGGGCTTGCGGGCTCCTATTGGTCCAGCGCACTGACCGTCCCCAGGCAGTCACATTGTGGGATATCTCCCGCCGCGCTGTTCAACAACCAAGGAGGATGTGGTGATCACCAAGGAGGAGCCGCTCCCGGAGCAGCCAGCTGCGGAGCCCTTGAAGCAGACAGTAAAGGTAGAAGACTTTAGATGTGAAGCGCTCAAAGTGCTTTCTTGCAAAGACGTGCCTGGAAGGCGTGAGCCATGTGAGCCCTAACCCCCACGGGCTCGAACCTCGAGTTGCAAAATTGCAGCCCTCAACCCTCAAGCCTCATCTCCCAACTTTTGCCACCCTTGAAGCTCCAGAAGCACCTCGAGCGGGTGATTTGGAGGGCGTTGGCGAGAGCCGGACACCGAAACCAATTCCGGTTTGTGAGCCCCCCCAAAAGTCGCTGCGTGCGGTGCAGATCGGGTGCCAAGCTTTGTGTTGAGTGTCGAGCATGCCTGGCGACGTGTAGGGATAACCGTGGTCTGCCCAGATAGTGCGTCGCCCTTGTGATCAAACAGAGCCGAGTCGAGAATTCAAGAACTATGCCGACGAAGCCCGAGCAACCGCCCTGTGTCATTGTCCAAGGATGGAAGATCTCCTCAGCCACACTCAGTAAGCCTGCAGCAGAACAGAGATGAATAGAGGATGCCCCCAAGTTGCGAAGCCGAGGTGGGTTTGCGGTATCGCTTGAAACGAAGAAACGTGTGCTTTGCGGGGGGGGGGGGGGGGGGGGGGGGGGCGGGGTGGTTGAGTGGAGCTCAGTGGACCGCTCAAAGCCCGAGACAGAGTGACAGCGTTGCGTGCTAAGGAGGAGCAGCCGCCTCCTGTTGATGCCGAAATGGAGGCGGAGACCAAGGATTTCAAGGATCAGTGACAGATTGTGTCCGCTATGTGGTCGCTTCTCTAAATTGTGCTCCCTTTTCGGGGTTACGATTTTTCGGAGGCCCCAAATATTTAGCGCAACCAAAAAGGGAATTCTGAGAACTGTCCATGTGAAGCCCAGGACCATCAGGCATGCAACGCGGCATTGACAACGTGTCAGTTGAAAGCGGAAAGGGCCCCGCTGCGCGGGAATTTCGCAACATCTCGCAGCAAACTTGTCCGACCTCCATGTCTGGATGTCTTTCAAGATCATGGATCAAGGGCTATTGCGGGGGCCCACTTGAGAACTCCCCCTCCCCCCCGAGCTGAGAGCGCCCTTGTAACTTACAGATCGGTATCGTATCCGCAGAACATGTAGCAACCAGAGGCTTTGACAAGAGCTTTCGTATGAAGGTGGAAGCGTCAGCCTTTATTCCGCGGTCTTCAGCAATCGCGTAATCGCGATAAGGTTATGTTGAAGAAGCGCTTTACTGTGCAAAGTCATGAGCTAGGGCACGACTCCTGATCGTTGAGGAACACCATCTTTGTTTTGAGGATCCCTGCGGAGTGTAGCTGGTTCTGCGCCACTCGAAACCTACCTGTCCATGAAAGACCATAGCTTCTGACCTTCGCGCAGGGCGGAGACAGCTGGTGGGCCCTGCACTGGAGCGCCGCTTGCAGCTCTTGGGTTAGGGGACAACATTGGACAAGATTGCACTTGCCAAGTCGCATGGATTTCGATGTTCAAGACCACAGCCACGACCATCATAATCATCATCATGAGCATCATGAGCATCATTAGCAGCATCAGCAGCTCAACACTCTCTGCCTGTAGCCCTTGCCCCTTCTAAATCTCTGGTCAGATTTTGAAGCCAGACGGCCTAAATACCTGGCAAAAGACATCTCGAACGGTGGAGTTTCGCATTCTCACTGTATGCGTTCCAGCAGTCGGAACACATTGTCACGCCTTCAGTCTTTTGGATTCCGAGTTTAGGGATGGTGCTTCAGGAAGAGGAGCAAAACACTCAAATACCCCGAGCCCGAGAGGCCTTCAATGTTCAAGCCGAACGAGGGCGGAAGGGGACGTTTATGCAAACGGTTGAGGGATGGGACGCGGTGTGAAGGATGTTTGCAAGCCCCCTTCTCAGGCATCTCGCTACGGCCAGTTCGAGACGCGGTGCAGGGTGGGGCGCCCAGCATCCAACACAATTCCGCCATGAAAGGCCTGACGCAAGCAGCCCTGCTGGCACTCTGCAAGGATCTGTAGTAGCCTCTTCCTAGTTCGATCTTCTTGACTCAGCACGAACGAGCTAGCGAACCTTCCGCCCCTGAACCCCAAATCCCCAACAACGAGGCGAGGGGCCGCTCGCGCTCGCGGCGGACGAAGCGCGCATCTTGGCAGACACCTCGGGGTACCACGACTCATACTGATCAAGTCAATGGGTCCATGTTCGGTGAACAGCATGAGAGTTATGCAAGTGCTGAAGCCAGACGCTTGCAAAGCGCTTCTCAAACGTTCATAAAACATCGAAGGTTTGCGGCTTCTGGTTTAAAGGTGGGGACGGAATGATATGAACAGAGCTATGCGAGGGCAATCGTAGAAGCTCATGGCTCATGTGCCAAAGGTGCGCGTAGTCGCTACCAGCTGGATGGAGCACGATACGGACCCCTCGCCCTATCGCTGGCAGGCGGTGCAGCTTCCACTGTGGAACAGGGTTTAGGGTTTGGTTGTGTTGCGGTTTAGGGTTCCAGGGTCACTCGGGTCTCATGGCCTCGATACTCTTTCTTGTTGGTGGGATTGTGGGGAGTTGGGGGGTGGGGGCGAGTAAATGGAAAGGTCAAGCTAAATTATGCCCCAAGTTCAAAACCATCCCCGATGTTTGTACCTTACGGATTAATTACGCAGCTCCCAAAATCCTAAGGTCACGAAAGGTCCCAGCACCCCAAACCCCAGACCACCAACAAAACCCTTGTGTCATTTGCAACCCTTATTAAGTCCCAAGCTGGGGATCGAAGGTGTTGTGCAACGATAACTTGCCGGTGCTCGGGGCGCATCAGGGTATCAAAAGGCCTTAAAACGTTCTATTTGAAAGAATCTCCTCGCTTTGTAGTGTTCAAAAAGGATACCACCTTCAGATGTTTGTTGTGGTTCAAAAATTTAGTAGCACCAGAAAATCGATTAATTCAATTTTGTATCTCATTGCGTGACATTGTTCTCGAGTCTGGAGAATGGTGAAGAAAGAGTGACTGAAGTTGCCGCACTGTGCAACATAATTGGGCTTGGCAGACTGAAGCGGCAGCTCCGATAGTAGCTGTAGCAAACAAATCGTCATGGCAAGCAGGGGCGCTTCAGCTGAAGACACAGCCCTGCAGTTCTCGCACGTGAAGCGTGACCAGTACTCAGTATTGTTTCATTACCCGCAGCTGCTTGCAAAACCTGAATCAGCTACGGTCACTGGAAGCCCCTGTCCCAAAGCAGGACACATGGTGATCTCGAACCTCAGCCATGCCTACCATTGTCCCAACGTCAAGGCTGCCCAGGAGGGGTCTTCGTAGAGCTTCCGTTCTGGCGTGCAGCATTCGGGGTTTGAGGTTGATATGGCAGGGCAGCAGGATGTCCGTTTGATTTAGAACTCCTTGTCCTCACCATGTGTGCAAGAGCTGGCCAGGCCGCCCCTGTAAGTGAAGTGTGCACGAGCCTTCCCACCACGACCAAACCACATTTCCCACCTCACGGACGCTGCCTCTTTGGCGGGTTGTATTTTACGAGCAGAGCGTGGAGTAACAGCTGAACACATGAAGCTTCCGACGGCTGCAAGAGCCAGATGTCACAAACGATGACTTGCAAGCGATGGCTCTGGAACCCAGCCTTGGCCGTTACTGACTCAGCTGATGGTGGTGAGACTTGATGTTGTTGGCAACGAATCTGTGACCGATGCTTCTCTGCCGGCTAGGAACTGCTTTCTGTTTACAGCCAAGATTGGCGCAAATTTCAGGGTTCTAAGAACAAAGTCACATCAAGACAGTTTGTTGTGTGCAAATGGTGCTTCGCAGCTGTCCGAAGCAAGTTCCTCTGGACTCTGGAGCATGTAGAGCCACGCACACTTAGATCATCCGTTCTAGAGCAGCAACGGGTCTGGAAGCTTGTCAGGAGACCTCCCTCCCATGACGCCCACATGTGCCTTGGGCACATTGGCGAAGGCTGCAGTGAGTGCAACGAGGCAGGGTGAGGGTGGGAAGACCCCCGTCGCCCGAGCAACCTTCAAGCGGGTTCTATAGTCAGACGCAAAGACGTGGCATCACCTTGTTGCTGTTGCGCCCTTGAAGTTTCCTTGCTTTGAGGGTGGTTGACGGCTTCAGGGTGGTTAATGGTTTCAGGGTTTTGGCAGTTTAGGGCTTCGGTGTTAGGGCCTTGAGGGCCTCAGGGTTTAGGGTTTGAAGACCGGCGGTTGGGGGGGGGGGGGCCCGAATTTTGAGGTCATGTCCAAGTTTACCTTCTGAAATCCGAATCATCAAGCTGCACCCTGGGCCCTAAACACCAAACCCCACACCCCAAACCCGAAACCCTGAGGACCTTGAAGCAGATCAAGCGCGCCGCGGCCGTGGCAGAGAGAAAAAGTCCTCCGAAGCCCCAGCGTCCTCGGAGTCCTGCTCTAGTTTGTGGGACTGTTCCAAGCAAAAGTCCTCCGATAGATATTAAAAAAAAACAGTCCTCTAAACTGACAGATCCCCACGCAGGCTTTAATGTAGAACAACCTCCATTTGCAGGCTCAGGCTGTTTCTTTGTCAACCGAAGATCTTCTTTGTCATTTTGACCACGCTGCACGGGCATCCTGGAGATTTCATTTGGGATACCTTCGTATTTTTTAAATTTTTATTTATGATAAATTATACTCTCGGGTTTTGGAGGACCTTTCTGTTTTTATTATAGAATAAATTGTAATAAATCGTTTGTTTCCGGACCTTGAAGATAGATCTTTTGTTTTTTCTAACCTATTCTCGTTTATGAAAAAGAAAGATGTTTTTGGTTTATTTTTATCGGTAATGGATCGTCTTTTAGGGTTTGGGATTTCTTTTGAGTTATATTTCTAAAAATAAATCTCTGGATTTTGGTATTTCTTCTTAATTTATTTTTATCTATAATTTTAAATATAAATTGCACCTTCAGATCTTCAGGATGAATAGGCATTCGTGCCTGCTCGCTCGTAACATCTATATACGTATCGTTTCTTAATATCGAAGAATATTTGATTTCTGGATAGCGATATGTCGTTGATTATTTTTCTTGATCTCATGTGGATCGTCTTCTTAATGGCTCAAGGGAGGAGATTAAGCTCAAGGACCGAATGGTGGGGGGGGGGGCCCATGGAATTGAGGTGCGATCCCTCGTGCACTGTAGGATGGTTTTGGGTTTGGTTATCCGTGAATATAGGAGACGATTACGTTGCTTGTATCCGCATTTGGGATTGGGTTTGGTTGATTTTCTGTGTCAGCGTTTTTACAATTGGCTAAATGTCGGGAGATGATATTGAGAATCATCAATGGAGATCGGTCATTACAGCTCAAACCCATTCAATACGGAGGGTTGTTCGGATAGATGGTTTGTGGGTGTGGTTACGAGGGCGAGTATTTCGGGGACCGAGATTACTTTTATATTTCATTTATTCGGGGATTGTTCTCCGGGGAACTTCGGCTAGAGTTCTCCAGCAGGTGGGTCCAGGCGACTTGGTTGGGTTTATGCCTGCCAATTATTCTATCTTCATCATTTGCGTTCGTGTGCCGCCATGGTATGGGGTGGGACAAAGAGTATGTCTAATTGTGTTGTTGTAGCATGGCAGGCGGGCTTGGTTGCTTGCTTGTTGCAACTCGGACTTCGTGTGGCGCGCCTCTTATGGTGGGGCCAACCTCTTGCGGTTCAAGTGCAATTCATATACTTCAGTGCTTTGGTCATTTGGATAGGCTGTAGAGGGGATTGTACTCGATTCTTGGTTCTTCTCAGCGGTATTGGTTTCTGGATGGGGGATCGGCACCTTCCACGACACCTTTGTAGATGCGTCTCATTAGGCATAGGTATCTGGCTAACCGCGGATGCGCCTTTAGTCGTGAGAGGTGGGTTGCTTTTGCCGATTGGGATGTTTCCAGCTTACCCTGAGGATGCGCGACTCAGGTCTCTACGTTCTTCGGTTGCTGCCCCTATGGATATAGATCTTGTTTCAGACGATGCGAGTGGATTGAAGCAGGGTCTGACCTCGTCGAGTAGCTTGCGTTCGGGGGCCGATTCTGCTCCTATGGACCTTGATGAAGGTTCTCAGGAAGTCGACGCGCGGGTAGCTAGAGCTTTGGCTACGCTTTTCGGGGAAGATGTTCCTAAAGCTCAATTGTTGAGGGAAGAAAGTGGTACCGGTGCTCATGCTTCAGCACGCTCTAAGCCCTGCACTTGCCCTGTCCTTGGGTGCGCCCGCCATGTCGATCGTGATGGGATTGGATTTCCTTCGTTTGGTGCTTTGAGGGCGCATGTTCTTCATTTGGGTCATGAGTTATATGGTTCAGTGCCCGAGGGATGGTTAGGCGCTCAAAATTTGTCGGCATGTCGGATATGCGGTCTTAGCATTTCGTCCAAAATTCGAGATTGTATACATCTTAGATGCCGTTCACGTTTGGCCACGCCTTCCCACCCTTTCTTTTTCCCCTTGCCCGCGAAGAATACGGCAAGATACTCACCCGCATTATACAGTTCAACTCGTAATGATGCTTGGGATTTACAGGTTGATTCTGAGGCTAAGCAGCGTTGTCGTAGGGCGTGGGTTGAGTTTTTCATGTTTGGGAAGTGTTGTCTCCGACAAGCTAGCCGTGGCGAACGACCTTCCCAGGCTTACCATTTTACCCAATCGCTTCTCCTCCTATGGAAAGCCGGAGACAGGTATGGTTTGTGGTTGGAGGCCCGTGCTGCTGGCGAACGTAGATCGCGTAAAGGCGTGGGGGGCAAGGGTAAACGTAGCCACGTGAGTCGTGAGGTCGAACGTTTGGTTTCTTTGGGAAGATCGGGTGAAGCCGGGCGGCGCCTCGTGTCGCCCGGATTGGCCGAAGATACCCCTCAGGTCCGCCAACGATTGCTTGCCAAAATTCCTCCACGAGACGGTCCTGTCATCTCGTCCGATGGAGTCGCGCCGCCCCCGGATATCCCAGCCGATGTCGTCTACAAGGCTATCTTCTCCCTCAAAAAGGGGGCAGGGCCGGGGCCTGGTGGGGACTTCTTGCGCGATTTGCTTAGCCAGCACCCGGAGAAGGAGGAGCCTCTCGGTTTGATATATCGTGAGTTTGTGCAGTTGTTAGTTAACGCGGAGGCGCCGTCTTTCTTGAGAAGTTTCCTTGGGGGTGGGCGCTTGGTCGGCGTTGGGAAGAAGGATAGTGAGGGTCGGCATGTTGCTTTGGATGCTGATGCTCGTCCGATCGTCTTGGGTATGACTTGGCGTAAGGTTGCCTTCCGTTGCACCCTTGCCCTGGACAGGGATAGTATCCGGGACCGCTTGGGCGATCACCAATTGGCCTTGACGCGTGGGGGGGCCGATGTTTTGGTGCATGCTGCGCGAGGTTGGGTTCGACGCCACTGCTCTCGCGACTCGGCGGTCGTCTTTCAAAAAGACGTCCGCAACGCGTTCAATGAGATCCGACCCCGCGAATTTCTGCAAGACTGCCGGGCACACGCGCCGACGTCTGCTCGTTTTGCCCACTTTTGCTATGGGGACAGCACCCATCTCGTATACGGGGATAACTTGGAAGGCTCGCATCGAGGACAACAAGGATGCCCCCTCATGGCGCCCATGTTTTGTTTGTCTCGGCGTCGTATGTTCGATCTCGCGCGGGCGGAGTGTAGGCGGGTGCCTGAATTCGAGGTTGAATTTGCCGATGATGCTTACAGCGCGGGCGAGGTGGAAGATGTTCTGATCGCCTTTAAAGCGGAAATAGCCTTGTCGGAACGGTTCGGTCTTCACTTCGATTTCTCTAAGTGTACCCTCTACTTTCTTGCGGGCGAGCAATTTCGGGGAGATATCTCAGAGTTCCAAGCTTTTGGGGTTAGGGTCGTCACTGGATCCGAGCTTGCTATCTTGAAGACACCGGTCCATGGGACGGCTGCATTTGGCAAAACTTTCCTTGCCGCTAAGATTAGGGAGTTGCAGGAGATGGCCGACGCAATCCAGCAATTGCCTACTAAGCATGTCGCCTTCCACTTACTTAGGGAAGCTCTTTCTTGGGGCAAGATCCAGTATTGGGCCCGGACTTCTCCGAGAGAATACATCTCTACTTTATTGGAGGTCCTTCACACGATCCAGCGTCAATGCTTGGAAGGAATCCTGGGCAAACCGCTCACTTCGGCGCAATGGTTGCAGAGCCGCCTTCCTGATCGCTGCGGGGGCTTGGGATTGTTGGCTTGTCGTTATGAACAGGGAATGCAAGTCTTTCAAGTTGCCGATCTTGCCTATTTGGTCTCTA